CTGGAAAAGAAAACAACAAACAGAGAAACTTGTAACGGCTGCTTTCTAAGATCAGTTTTGTTTTTGCAGGCTTTGAGCAGGTGATTTGTGGGAACTGTTGCTATCGTTGAGACAGGGAGCGTGGATATTTAAAGCTACAACTTTGAGAGAGGATGCTGTTATGTCCTCCAGAGTGATCTAACATATTTCCCTCAAAGTTGATGCAGGTTGTGATTCTGGTTTATGCCCTCAGGTAACCCCTGCATCAAGGAGGGTTAAAGGTACGTTCATGTTTACAACAACGAGAAGAAAAGCACAACGGCTACCGACAACAACCTGTGCGATACACTACCTGAACAGTATTTACCACACAGACGATACTTAGGCAAGACAAAAGAGCAGAAAACTAAAAACAGAAACTGGACAGCAATCATGCTAACAAACCAAACCATCCTGACATTTCCTCCACAATGTAGAGACAACAAAGTGGGCAACTTATAAACGTTGAAATTAATCAACTGTTCCATCATCAGTGCTCTCAGATGTCTATTTAAGTTCTCAGTCATCCAGGGTATGTTAATTAAGGCCGTGGTCTCACTGGCCATCTGTACCGTGCCCAAGCACGCTTCAACCCTAAAGTCCAGTTCGTTTGGCCACTGTGACCGCTACGGTCATGCACGGTACACTTCATGCACGAGCACAAGCACGCGGGTACACAACACTGACAGCCTTCATTATGGAGAAATCCAGAGTTTCATGGCTGCATCTGACTAACATGGCACAATATAAGCCACAAAGTAGATGTCATGTTCTCTGTGTTGTGCTCCGATGTGCAGGCTTAAAGTATTGCCTCTCAGGTACGTCCCTCCTGTAAACAAACTGATTGAGGTACGACGTCTCACTTTAAAACTCAAGCTTCCTCGTCGATAGCCTAGTGGTTATATTGCGCACAGCGGCTGTGGGTTCAAATCCAACCTTGGCTCTTTGCTGCATGTCATCCCCCCCTCCCAACACTTCCTGTCTCTCTTCAGCTGTCCTATCCAATAAAGGTAAAATCGCCAAAAAGCATAAATTGAAAAAAAATGAATCTTCCTGTGCCTTGGTTAAATGTTTTACAGGTAACAGCGCCCGAAGACGTCTTGCACTCCTCTAGGATGCTCGTTACATACAGTGTCATCATCAACAAGCCTCCACACATGCTGAAATATCCGGTTAAGCACTTAAAACATCAGGGTTGTGTAATTTGAGTGTGTTCGACGTACTGCTGATGAATATTATCAGCAGAAACACAAAAGACATAGGGATGGAATGAAGCAGGGCGGGACAAACCACTGTGAGTAAGAGAAGAGAGGCACAGTTGCGCGTGTATATGTGTGTGTGTGTGTGTGTGTGTGTGTGTGTGTGTGGGCGAGGGGAAGTAATCTGAGCAGATTAGTCATTTGTCACACACAAATACATAACTTAGAGGATAAAGCTCAATTAATAAACCAAGCTAATATACTAATATAGGCTAACCTAATATAAATGGGTTACTGCGTCTTATATACTGGTTACATTCTGGATATACATCATACATACTGAATTATCACCGCCTTGATTATGAGGACAACATATCCCTTTATTAGAGCATAGGAAACTAACAAAAACAAGGTTTGATGTTGACCAAGAATACGACTGAAGACAGGAAATGAAACAGCAGAGATTTCCCTAAACACACATCGACATCCATAAGAAAGAGGAGAATAAAATGTACCGCCCCTCTCTGGAGAGCTGCGTTCAAATAAACCTCACACAGCTCACATCTTTCTCAGGTTCTCTGCAGACTATACAGTTGTGCACACTCACACACACTTGCTTTCAGGGATTACACGCATGGTTGGATCTGAAGAATGTGCCATCCTGATTTTTTGCCCTACTAAAACTAGCACAGGCACCCTGAGTGGTGAGGCTTCTTTCTACGTTTCCAAGGGTTGTGTGTGTGTGTGTGTGTGTGTGTGTGTGTGTGTGTGTGTGTGTGTGTGTGTGTGTGTGTGTGTGTGTGTGTGTGTGTGTGTGTGTGTGTGTGCAGAGAGGGGGTGGGGGGCTGTTGGAACGGATCGTCCTTTTCAGTCACTACCACAACTATTCTCTCTTCCCTTCAATCCAGCCTCTGAGCTTTTCCAGCGACTGGCACAGATTCTGCTTCGCTAAAGGAATAAGAGGGGGTTTGCTACTGGCTACAACCATGGTCTCCACTCTTTCCCAGCCAATGAGAGGCCATGAGAGGCGGGCCCAGGGGTAATTACAGAGTGGCTTACTTCCTACATTCCAGAGCAGACGCTGAGGTTGAGTTGAACAGCAACATGAAGATTTCTCGATGCCTCTATCCGCCATTTATGACCCCCTCCATGTTCTCGTAATGCTGCTTATCTAATCAGCTGCACAAAATAATCAGAGAGGAAACACATGGGAAGGTATGCATCTTCTAGTAGGGGAGGAGAAGAGGAAACTTGGATCTTTCTCCGTTCAGTCGTTGGGTCAAAGCAAAGTCTTGAAATAAAACCCAGATTGAGGCATCAAAACCGGCCCACAGATACTCCCACCCACTTTACAAACTGGTCACATCCCCGAAAAAGACCACATAATATGAGACACACGGTCCTCTTTACGGGGAGACTGAAAATGAAGCTGATCCTTTTTATACGGGACAAAACATGCACATTATGTACATGGGGGGGGGGTGACTTAATAATATGTAAGAAGTAAAGAGGATTTCAAAGTAATATCCTGTAAATTAACACTTCATTTATAATAGTTTTTGAGATATACTTAGGATGTGAAAACAAGGATCTATTTCTCACCAAAGCTTAAAACTTGGTGCACATGCTCAGTTTGGGGACACAAGTCTTCAACTAAGATTGTCTAAATGTTTGGTCCTTTAATACTTTAGATACCTAAATGTGTCTCTGAGTCATGACTGTCTACAATGAGAGAGAAGCTCGAGTCCCGCTGGCTGTGTTGTTGTCAGAGCCGTGTTTACATGGACAGGACAACCGGCTCCTCCCCTTGTGTTTAAAAGCTGTTTTAGTCAAGAACTAGAGAGAAGAAGAAGAACATACTCACTGATTATTTGGATGTTAGTAAGAGTTTTTAGATCACGCTCATTCTGTGTCAGTTTATAACTAAAGAGCGCTAACATTAGCATGCTAAAACAACAATGCAGTCGAGCACTCCACAAGCTTCATTTACTGGAAGGTAAAACACCGTTAACTACGTTACAGAGGCGAGACGGGATCAGCTGAGCCAGCGAGGGAGCGCAGCAGTGTGTGTGTGTGTGTGTGTGTGTGTGTGGAGCTTCTGCTGTGCCGTGCTTCCACAACGCCGGAACGCAATATACATTCACAGACTGGCACACCAAAATTACGCCGAAGACGCCGAAGACGTGATGACGGATGAGCAGAGCGAAAAGGGCTAATGAATGGGATTTTCAAACACATCTGGTCACGTGGAAATGTGTAATGGCGGCACTTGCTCTCGTGGTCATGACAGCATGTGTGTCATATACTGTGTGTTTATACTGGTATATTGTATTTGTCGCACCGGTATTTAGAACGCAGCCCTATATAAAAGAATCATATGTAAGTTTACAGTTTGGGTATCCTGACACTATAGGCAAACTATAGATTCTGCATCATCCCTCCTGACGGACAAATTGATGTCAGGGATTAAAACAATTCCATATACATCACCATGAACTGTCCGAGTGAGTAGTGCAGGATAAAACCTGTTGTGTACATGTTGTGTAGAGTTGCAAACGCTTAATCCTTTTGTTCACTGACTGTGACAATACAGACGGAGCACCAGGCATGGGTCAGAGAGCTGGAGAGCTGATGAGATGCCTGCAGGCGGCTAAAATGTTATATTCAAACATGTCAGAGGATTACTCCAGAGCCCTAGGTCAGCTTATATTTTCTGTAGGTCCTCATTCATGTTGCCAACATTTCACATAGGTAAGGAGGGCGTAGACATGGAGGGATTGGAATTCAAAAGGTGCAATGATTAATGCATCCCCAAATATATGAATTCAAGTCAAACATGCAGATTGAACGCAGTAGAATCAGACGCTCGTACTGTACATGTACAAGTGCAGCCATGTGTACTCAGGCGTGATCCCATCGCTCCCTGCAGCAGTGTAAACTGGTGTGTGGCTCAGCCAGTTTGGATGAGCGACATGCTGGTTAGAAGTGGACTGAGCTGCTCTTTAAGCCTTCGAACAGGGGAGGGGATTAAGGGGGAGGGGGGGGACATAAAAAAGATGTGTGCCAACCTATTAAAGGAACCGCGTATGAAAACACGGAGAACACACAAAGCTTTTCAGGGATAACTGGACAACAACTCATTCATGGAGAAGAATATGATGCTCATGTACTTCATTCAATTAAAGATACCAAAACAATGCTCCTACCAAACCCGACAATCGAAATAACCTTGGCGTAACGCAGGGTAAAACATCACAAACTGTGTACATAACATCTCTTTAAAATCCTTTAAGGCTCTCAGTGTCTCAGTGTTTTTTTTTGTCAGGGCTGGTTGGTATGGCAACAAATATGAGATCTTAAAACAAACACTAAATTCACAGATTAAAGCAGTTCATGATAAAAATGTGTTTCTCTCAGATGCATCGGACGTCAGGGGGGCTCCCAGGTGCCTGAGCTGATGCGAACACAAAGTATAATTCACTACATTTACACCCCTGGAAATTTCGCCTTCAATCTGAATGTCGTAGAGGTTTAATGGGGGAACAAAGTGATCCCACCTTTATACCGTCCTTGGGGATCGTAACAGAGGTGAGAGGGGATCAGCCGTGCCAACATGGGAGTGCAGCGCTGTCGCGTGTGCGTGCATGTCTGGCTGTGTGTGTATTTGGAGCTCCCGCTGAGCCACAGGACATCAGGGGGGCTCTGAGCTGAGCTGATGCTAACACACACGTCTGGGCCCCGTCTACATCGCCCTGTTCAGACTGCGTTTTCAAGCCGTGACAT